CGCAGATCTGAGCGAGACCTCGCCGTCTCTGGGGGGCTGCGATCTGCGAAACCGTCGCCACTTTCAAGGGCTGCTGGCGGGTCCAGCGGAATGAGGCACAGCGCAAATCTGAGCGGGACCTCGCCGTCCTTGGGGGTCTGCGATCTGCGAAACCGTCGCTACTTTCGAAGGCTGGTGGCGGGTCCAGCGGAGTGAGGCACCACGCGGATCTGAGCGGGACCTCGCAATCCCTGGGTGGCTGCGAACACCACGAATGCCGCTCGCAGAAGTATATGCGCCCATGTCCCGTCATCGCCTCCGTAAAACGTCTCCCAAGCTACTCATGCTCCGCATTGCGCAGGGGTTGGGTACGTCGCCAGGGTAATTCTCTCCCATTTCTCTCTCCCTCCTCCTCTCCTTCCTCCTCCTCCTCCTCCTTCTCCTCCTCCTCCTCTTTCTTCACGCCTTTCAAGTTTTCCTGTCGCCCCACCAAACATGTAGTCAGCGCGGGCCAAGCGTTTCGCCTCGGACGTCCTCCGCGTGCAGCTAGACACTTGCAACAGCGAGTGGTCTTCAAAATGGAGTCCCCGCCTTTGCGCAGCGCGCATGTTATCAACATTTCCAACAGCCACAAGGGGTGTAGGGCGACTCGGTCTCAAACTTAGGCTCTCGCCTCGGTGCCACGCGCGCTCGACCCGACAAGATCTGTCACAGATGGAGGGCGGCTCCTTTTCAACATTGGACCCTCGCTGGGAAATTCGTTTGACGTTTGAGCAAGACGTCGAAACATTTGCAACGATTGCACGGACGGACGGCGGTTCCTTTTCAAGGTGGGGCTGTCGCTGGGCACTCGCTTTGGCTTTAGGACCCCACCTTGTCGCAAAACTTCTAGTTCGAATGATGGAGGGCAACGGTCTCTCAAAACGGAGCTCCCGCCTGAATCCCAGGACCATGGGGCGCCGCGGCGTGTCGCCTGGAGCGCTTGGAGCGCCTGGGAGCGCTCCAGGCGACACGCCGCGGCGCTCCAAGCCGGGAGCGCTTGGAGCGGTGCCGCGGGGCGGGAGGCTCGGAAAAGCTCGGGGCACTGGCACTGGGAAGTGGGGACGTGGATAGCGTGTCGCGCCGGAGCGTGGTGGGCCAGAACCAGCGGAACGACACGCTATCCAAAAGTTCCTGACCGTCAAGGGGGGCTCTTTGCGCAGTGAAAATGACGCCTGTAGGTACCAACGAGGGAGGGACTTGGGACGGGAAGGCGTGCTGCAACATTGCTGATGCATCTTGGGTTTACTCTGGTCCTCCTCAGCCTTCTCGTCTTCCCCTCCGCTCCCCTTGCTTTTCCCTCCTCCTCCTTCTGCTCCTCCTCCTCCTTCTGCTCCTCCTCCTCCTCCTCCTCCTCCTCCTCCTCCTCCTCCTCCTCCTCCTCCCCCTCCCCCTCCTCCTCCTCCTCCTCCTCCTCCTCCTCCTCCTCCTCCTCCTCCTCCTCCTCCTCCTCCTCCTCCTCCCCCTCACCGTCTCCTCCTCCTCTCCTCCTCTCCTCGTCTTCCCCCTCTTTCTCCTCCTCCCGTCCTCCCCCCCTCCTCCTCCTCCTCCTCCTCCTCCTCCTCCTCCTCCTCCTCCTCCTCCTCCTCCTCCATCCCTTTTGTTGCAAATAGCTTTTCCCTTTCGCGCCCCGAGTCGTGTCGGTAGAGCGGGTCGGGCGTTTCGCCTGAGACTTCCTGACCATTTCTGGGCCTGAAGCTTAACATTTGTAACAATTTCACTGGCGGAGGGTGGGTCCTTTTCAAAATGTGGCTCTCGCCTTAGCGCCGCGAACATTCGTCTCCAAAGTTTGCGACAGTTTCCAGGATGGAGGGCGGATTCTTTTCGCAATCTGACTCTCGTTTCAGCGCCGCGCGCATTCACCCTAGCAGTCTGCAGCAGTTTCAAGGATGGAGGGCGGGTCGCTTCAACACTGTTGCTCTCGCCTTAGCGCCGCCCGCGCTAGTCTTAAGCAGTTGCAGCGGTTTCAAGGGTGGAGGGCAGGCCCTTTTCAACATGTGGCCCTCGCCTCAGCGCCGTCTTGCAACTTTGCAGCAGCTTTGAGCATGGAGGGCGGCTCCTTTTCAAAAGGTGGCTCCCGCATTTGCGTCGCGAGCATTCGTTCGTAGTATCCTGCAGCAGGCTCAGGGGTCCGTAAGGTTCAAGTTCCAGGGGATGCGTCGCAATGCGTTTTGGCACGACTTAAGACTGTCTGGGCGCAACAGTCACGTTGATTCGGGGTGTTGACGTCGCAGGCGCGATGTTCGGGTGTGCTTTAGCATTCAGGGAGCAACAGTCACGTTAATTCGCGGCGTTGACGTCCCAGAACTGGTGTTTCGGCACGACTGAGGGTTCTCAAACGGTTGTCTTCCAATGTGGCACTTCCTGCAATGAAGATAAATTCTTGTAGGGACCTGTGACGACGGCAGTTGGAGGGAGGGTTGTTTGCAACACCATTGGTGCGTCTTGGGTTTGCAGTGGTCCTCCTCCTCTTCCACCTCCTCTCCTCCTCCTCCTCTTCCTCCTCCTCCTCCTTCTCCTCCTCCTCGTAAGCTCCCCCCTGTCGCACCACCAGCAGTGTCGTTAGGGCGGGCTGGGCTTTTCGGCCGAGACTTCCTCACTGTTCACGGTGTTGAAGTTTGAAATTTCTAGCAGTTACACGGGCGGAGGTCGACTCGTTTTCAACATGGGCCTCTCGTCTCAGTGCCGCGCACGATCGTCTTACAACTTCCAACAACTGCACAACTAGAGGGCGAGCCGTTTTCAAAACTGGGATCTCGCCATGGCGCTCCGCGCACTCGTTCCCAACATTTGCAATAGCAGCGAGGATACGAATCATTTTCAAATTTGTGCTCTCGCCTGAGATTTCTTGAACATGCGCTGCAGCATGTGAAACACTGTGCAACAGTGCGCATGACCTTCATTCAGCTGTATGGCCCCACTTTGTCGCAATCCTAGCTCAAACGATGGAGGGCAATTTCTCTCAAATCAGAGCTCCCGCCTGAATTGTGGGCCCACGGGGCGCTCGTCGTTCACGGAGGCGCTTCGCAAAGTGGAGCAGGATGCTTGTGGGGACTGATGAAGGGGGAACCTGGGACGGGAGGATGTGTTGCAGCATCGTTGATGCACCTTGGGCCAACTCAGGTCCTCCTCCTCCTCCTCCTCCTCCTCCTCCACCGTCCCCTTGCTTCTTCCTTTCCTTCTTCCGCTCCTCTTTCTCCTCCTCCTCCGCCTCCTCCTCCTCCTCCTCCTCCTCCTCCTCCTCCTCTTGGCGGCGCTCTCAAGGGGGCGGGGGGAGGGGGGACGGCTTCTGAGAAGCAAGGGCGCGTCTAGAAAACCTTCCCCCCCTATCGCCCTTTGCGCGTGGCCGATCCTCCTCTCCCTCCTCCTCCCCCTCCTCCTCGACGCGCCTGTCTCTCCGTGGGCAGGCGCCGCCGTCGTGCCCGCACCGGCTGCGGGGTCGCTACTGGCCACATCGTCGTCGGCGATGTCCTCCTCCACCTCCGAGGACCAAGGAGAACGATGATGAGGAAGAGGTGGAGGATGGAGGAAGCGGCTGATATGGAGGCATGCACACAAACTGCATAAACAGACACTTTCGAAAATCCGTGCGGATTTCCTGGATCGGCGCCGCAATCCCCTGGCGGCGCCTTCGGCGCCGCCCCTAGCACGCTCCGCGAGCCAGGGAGGGCGGTCCAGCGCAGATCCAAGAAATCCGCGCGGAACTCCGAACAATGGTTATGCAGTTTTTTTTGTCGATTCTATTCCACCCCATCGAGTCCCCTGCGGGCCGAGTAACTATCACTATCGACTCTGGGGGGCTGATGCTGGGCCCGATGGCCGACGTGATTCTGAATTGCGGGAGGCCCCCATAATGTTCACAGCAAAGCGCTGGCACTCATGATGTAGTTGGACGGCGGCTGGGCGGGCACTCTGACAGTCACCAGAGCCAACCCCTGATCCCTCTAGAGGCTCACCTTGCCCTGAATCTGGGGCATCCCGAAGCACCCGTCCTGTGTACTCAGAACCAGAGCCAGAGGTGGACGAGAAGGGAAAGGGGCAGGCAAAAGAGCGAAAAGCCTGAGAGGGGCGGGAGGACGGGCCGCCTGCCGGTGGACGTCGCTGGAAGGCACGACCTGCGCGAATGACTCTCTGTCGGGTGGCGCCTCCGCCTCACCCGCAATCTCCTCGCGGTCGGCCGTGCCTTCGGCCTCACCCGCAATCTCCTCGCGGTCGGCCGTGCCCTCGGGGGCGCCGCTGGCCAATCTGCCGCTGGCGATGCCCTCCCCCGCCTGCGCCTCCGCCGCCGGCTCGCCGAGGTCGTGGGCGGGCACGGCCTCCGCGCCCGCCGCCCCGTCGGCTGGCGCCTCCGCTGCGGCCTCCAGGGCCACCTCAGGGCCGACCTCGGCGCCCTCCTGCCCCTGCGCCTCTGCCGCCTGCCCGCCGAAGTCGCGGGCGAGCGCGGCCTCCGCGGCCGCCGCCAAATCGGCTGGCGCCTCCGCGTTGGCCTCGGCCACCTCAGAGTCGACCTCGGCGCCCTCGCGGGCGCCTGCGGCACTGGCGGCGGCAGCCTCCTCCGCCCGCGCCTCTGCCGCCTGCCCGCACGACGCCCGCATCCCAACGGAGGGTCTGCAAGCACCGAGAGGACTCCGCGATGCGGCCCGCCTCCCCTCCCAAGCCCACGACGCTGTTCCTTGTTTCGCGGTGCGGGCCCCCGGGACTGGCTCTCCTCGACGTGGCGCTGCCGCTTTGGGCACGGAGGTTGGGCCCGGAACCCAAGGGTAACTGAGGCCGTCTCTCCCTGGCGGCGTCCGGGGGCTCCGGGCAGCCGCTGAACGGGGTCGCCGTCGGCGTCGTCGTTGCCGTCGCCGCTGTCGTGGTTGCCGCCGCCGCCGCCGCGTCCACGGCGGTTTTGGGGCCATAGCTTCGTTTCTGGGCTATAGCTCGGGCCTCTGGCAGCCCTTCGGGATGATCTGGGCGCCCCTGCAACGCTCTCGGCGAGGCGCAGCTGCCGGAACGCATCCTGAGGCAAGACAACTGCCGAGATCCGACGAAAACGTCCGAAAGCCTCGAACCTCGAACCCGGAATTCCCCCTTCAGGGGTCAAACATCGATCACTCGACCTCTCCTGGGGTGCCTTCCGCCCAGAATCTCGAGGCGCATCCAGCCGTGGTCACGAGGGCGCCCAAGGACGATCACGAAACTCCAGGGAGCGGATCCAGATCCTCGAGCCTCCAATCCGTCCGAAACCCTCGAACCTCCAACCGTCGTGGCCGCCGCCGTCGCCGCCCTTGCCGCCGCCGCAGCCCCGGTTGGGCCTCCACCTCGCCGTCGGCCGCTGGAGCCTCCGCGGGCCGCTCGGGGGCGGGCGTGGCGGCGAGCGCGGCGCTCGCCGCGTCGTCCGCTGCGTCCTCGGGCGAGCCAGGACTACTCGGGCTCGTGGTCGTGTTCGGGATGGCCTCGCTGTCGTCCTCAGAGGTAGTGCCGTGAGGAGGAGGAGGAGGAGGAGGAGGAGGAGGAGGAGGAGGAGGAGGAGGAGGAGGAGGAGGAGGAAGAGGCGGAGGAGAAGGAGGAGGAGGAGGTGGATGATGATGATGATGATGATGATGATGATGAGGAGGAGGAGGAGGAGGAAGATGAGGAGAAGGAGGAGGAGGAGAGGGAGGATGAGAAGGAGCAAGAGCAAGAGCAAGAGCAGAAGGAGGAGGAGGAGGAGAAGGCTGAGGATAAGGATGAGGAGGAGCAGTAGCAAGAGCAGAAGGAGGAGGATGAGGGGGAACATGATGATGCTGCTGATGATGACGATGCTGATGCTGATGCTGATGATGATGATGATGATGATGATGATGATGATGATGATAAGGAGGAGGAACAGGACGCACAAGGAGGAGGAAGCATGAACATGAGGATGAGGATGAGGAGGATGACAAGGATGATCATGATAACGACGATGAGGATGAGGATGACAATGAGGATGATGATGAGGGTGACAATGGGGATGATGTTGATAATGATGATGAGGATGATGATGCTGCTGCTGCTGAGGATGATGCTGATGCCGATGCTGCTGCTGATGATGATGGTGATGGCAAATTAGGATGACTATGCAAATGCTGATGACGATGCGGCTGACGATGATGATGCTGGTGCGAATGCTGATGCGAATGCTAATGCTGATGCTGATGACGATGCTGATGAGGCTGATAACGATACTGATGCTGCTGATGATGATGATGATGATGTTGATGATTATGAGGAGGATGATGCTGATGACGATGATAATGCTGATGCTGAGGATGCTGATGATGATGATGCTGATGCTGGCGATGATGATGATACTGATGATGCTGCTGATGATGATTATGCTCATGCTGATGCTGCTGATGCTGCTGCTGATGATGATGCTGCTGATGCTCATGCTACTGTTACTGATGATGTTGATGCTGATGATGATGTTGATGACGATGACGATGACGATGACGATGCCGATGACGATGACGATGACGATGACGATGATGATGATGATGATGATGATGATGATGATGATGATGATGATGATGATGATGATGATGATGATGAGGCTGCTGCTGCTGAGGCTGCTGCTGCTGATGAGAAGGCGGAGGATGAGGAGGAGGAGGAAGCAGAGGATGAGGAGGAGGAGGAGGACGAAGGGGCGGAGGTGAGGGGAGGGGGGGGGGGGAGAAGGAGGAGGAGGAGGAGGAAGAATATGAGGAGGAAGAGGAGGACTAAGAAGAGGATGAAGAAGCGGAGGAGGAGATGGACGAGGAGGATGAGGATGAAGAGGAGGAGGAGGAGGAGGAGGAGGAGGCGGAGGAGGAGGAGGACAAGGATGAGCAGGATGAGACGGAGGAGGATGAGGAGGAGATTGAGGAGGAGGATGAGAAGGAGGATGATGAAGATGAGGAGGAGGAGGAGGAGGAGGAGGAGGAGGAGGTGGGTGAGGACGAGGGGGGAGAGGATTATGATGATACTAAGGGTAGGATGAGGGTGAGGACGATGCTGCCGATGATACTGATGACGATACTTGTGATGCCGATGGTGATGACGACGACGATGAGACTGATGATGAGGCGGCTGCTAATGTTGATGCCGATGCTACTGCTGATGCTGAGGCTGACGAGGTTGATGACGATGCGGTTGACGAGGCTGCTGATGATGATGTTGTTGATGCTGACGACGGTGATGATGCTGCGGACGATGATGGTGAGGAAGATGATGACGATGATGACGCCAATGGTGACGATGCTGATGTGGATGGGGATGATGACGAATCTGATGAATATGAGGCAGAAGAGAAAGAGGAGGAGGGGGAGGCGGAGGAAGGAATAAGAAGAGAAGGAGAAGGAAGAAGCGGATGAGGAGGATGAGGAGGCGGAGGAAGAAGATGATGATGATGATGATGATGAGGAGGAGGAGGAGGAGGAGGAGGAGGAGGAGGAGGAGGAGGAGGATGGAGAGGCGAAGCAGGAGACGGAAGAGGAGCAGGACGAGGAGGAGAAGGAGGTGAGGGTGGTGGTGGTGGAGGAGCAGGTGTCGGAGGAGGAGAAGGAGGAGGAGGATGAGGAGGAGGACGAGAGGGAGGATGAGGAAGACGAGCAGGAGGAGGAGGAGAATGAGGATGCGGAGGCGGAGGAAGAGGAGGATGAGGAGGATGAGGATGAGGAGGAGGAGGGAAAGGAGGGGGAGGAGGAGGAGGAGGGGAGGAGGAGGAGGAGGAGGAGGAGGGGCGGAGAGGAGGAGGAAGAGGAGGAGGAGAGGAGAAGGAGGATGATGATGAGGAGGACGAGGAAGAGGAGGAGGAGGAGGAGGAGGAGGAGGAAGGTGATGTTGATGATGCTGCTGACGACGACGATGATGATGATGCTGCTGATGATGATGAGGATGATGATGATGATGAGGAGGAGGAGGACGAAGAGGCGGAGGCGAGGGGAGGGGAGAGGATGAGGAGGAGGAGGAGGAGGAGGAGGAGGACGAAGGGACGGAGGAGGAGGAGGAAGAGGAGGAGGAAGAGGGGGAGGAGGAGAAGGAAGAAGAGGAGGAGGAGGAAGCGGAGGAGGAGGAGGAGAAGGAAGCGGCAACTGATGATGATGATGCTGATGCTGATGATGATGACGATGATGATGGTGCTTATCAGGAGGAAGAGGAAACGGAGGAGGAAGACGAGTGATGAAGAGGGGGGAGGAAGGGAGATGGATGAGGAGGATGATGCTGATGCAGATGATGATGACGATAAAAAGGAGGTTGATGAGGAAGAGGAGGAGGACGAGGAAGAAGAGGACGATGCTGCTGCTGCTGATGATGATGCTGATAACGAGGATTATGATGATGCTGCTGATGATGACTATGATGATGCTGATGCTGATGCTGATGATGATGCTATTGTTGATGCTGATGCTGATGATGATGTTGATGATGAAGGGGACGAGGGAGGAGGAGGAGGAGGAGGAGGGGGGATGAAGAGGAGGAGGAGGATGAGGACGAGGAGTAGGGAGGAGGAGGAGTATAAGGAGGAGGATGAGGAGTAGGAGTAGGAGGAGGAGGAGGAGAAGGGGGAGGATGAGAAGGAGGAGGAGGAGGAGGACGAGGGGGGAGGGATGAGGGTGGGGATGAGGATGATGCTGCTGCTGCTGCTGCTGCTGATGATGATGATGATGATGATGATGATGATGATGATGACGATGCTGTCGATGATGATGCTGCTGATGATACTGTTGATGATGCTGCATCTGAAGATGCTGACGATGATGAGCAGGAGGAGGAGGAGGAGGTGAAGGAGGAGGAGGAGCAGGCTGCTGATGATGCTCCTGCTGATGATGGTGCTGCTGCTGATGGTGATGATGGTGGTCTTGGTGGTGGTGGTGGCGGTGCAGATGATGACGATGATGTTGATGATGATGATGATGATGATGATGATGATGATGATGCTGATGCTGATGATGACGCTGATGCTGGTGATGAAGATGATGGTGATGATGCTGCTGATGATTGTGGTAATGGTGAGGATGCTGATGATGGTGCGGATGATAATAACAAGCCTCTGCCTTACTAGCGTGTGAGACAACTGTCAGCTCTCGTCGCCACGGAACCACAGGGAGCCTCGGGGCACAGTGACAGGAACTTCTTTTCTCACGGGCAGTGCGGCCAGCTGTATTCTCTCTAGCGTTGTGTACCAGCGTCCATTGAGGAAACTGCTCGAAGAACTCACAGAATTCTGAAGCGAAGCTCCGCTCCACGAGAGAAACACAGAACAGTGCAAAAGTAGGCGGGTGGGAGCCACGCGCGCTGCGGAAGCAGGCTGAAGCAAGACGTGCACGCACTAGTAGCCTCTGCCTTACTAGCGTGTGAGACGACTGTCAGCTCGCGTCGCCACGGAACCACAGGGATTGAGGAAGCTGCTCGAACAACTCACAGAATTCTGAAGCGAAGCTCCGCTCCATGCGTGAAAACAATTCTATCTTGGAGGGAGGGGGTGGTGGTGGGACCTTATCCCTGGTCAAAAATACACTCACGATCGCACAGCAGCAGAGGATGTAGACTCGAGGCATTTGATGCCATTGACAAAGGCACCGGCCAGGTCTCTGGAAAACCGCTTTGGATACTCCTCGGCCGCTCGAGTCCTAAAGTTTCCATTCTCGTCTTTGCCCGTTAAAGAAACATGTTGTTGTTTCGGTCTGGAACACCTCCCCTTGCAGAGCTTGTACCTACGGTCTAGAGGCTTTAAGGGCCAACAACTAGCTACTAAACGAGTGGGCTTCATCCAATACGCTCCCCATTGACAGAAATCAATTTGCATTTCACGTGTTGTTTTGCGCCTCCGTAAGTGAACCATGTGAGTAGCCTCCCAAAGAAAGAATAAGTACGGTTTTCGATGCAAAACGGAACCAGATGTAGCGACGCCACCTGCGCGATACCCACCGTGCTTTTCATCGCTCTGTTGCTAAGCTGAATGTTCCAGCGTTCCCCTTCGTTCCGCAACACCGGAAACCCAATAATGTGCTCTAGATCCCGAAGAGGCTGTGGACCGTTGGGTCTAGTACGAGCGCGCGATCAAGACGCACAGGGAGTCCCAATGTGTATACCCAGGACGTACCCAGACACCACCCAGCCTTTGATGCATCTTACTAAGGTTCGCTTACACATATCATGCTTGACTCCAAATCGAATGTCGGTGGCACTTGCCAAGTAGCTCAATCGTGACATCTCTCGCGACAGTCTAGCTGTTCCTGAAAAGATCTCGGGAAAGAGCGGCACCATCAACGCACGTGAAGGCCTGCCGGCGCCTGCAGCGGCTCGGCAGCATTCAGCCGGATCCTCGGCGCAGCTTCCGAACACCTGGCGGCGATCTCCCTCATTGGCAAAGAACGCCGGCCTAGGGGCTCGTTGATGCGGCCATCTTTCTGGTATCGGCAGACGTTGTTGTCGGACGACCACCGTCCTCCGTGCCTGATCT